TAATAGACATGCTCTGTGTCTTGACATCCATGGGCAAGGGCAGAGAGTAGTGAGTTAATGCGCTCACACTTGTGCCAGCTTTCTTTCGCTACTCCTATACAATCCAGAATTCCCTTCCAAGGGAATAGGGCTGCCCACGGTGGGCGGATCTGCCCTCATCAATTATCATAATCAAGATAATCACCCATGGACACACCCACAGGCTAACATGATCTAGACAGTCTCAGGCCACTGTAGCTTGTGTCAGGTTAGCAATTAAAACCAACCATCACACCCTACTAACAATATTTTATTATACTTCCACAAGCTTGTGCCAAGGTATGCAGAAAACGAGGAAATGGAATTGTGACAAGGTGTTCACAGGAGCTGATCCCCAAGGCTGTGCTATCATACAGTTTTAATTCTGGAGTGAGATTTGCAGGACCATCAAGAATGCTTGTTAAGTCATACCCACTGATGACTATTCTTTTGGGGGGCTTTTAGCTGGATCTGATTATCTGGTTTAATTGATCCTACAGAGGATAGCTTTAGCTGAAAAGAAGATGGAAATGAAAGACTTAATTAAAAATGTAAAGTTGCCTCCTTGCTGTGAGGACACTGAAATAGACGCGGAACGCGTTCTCTTCAATATTTATTCATCTGATTTTCATGGTAATTGCCTGGTCCCTGACTATAAAGGGGGAAGCTTGGCAAGCTAGATTACTCAGAGAAAGAAGGATGAAAAAAAAAAAAAACAAAAAAAAAAACAAAAAACGGTCTGAGTCTAAATTTACTCCAGAGTCTAGCAGCCTCTGAGTTTTCTTGCTGTGTGCTGAGGTCACTGGGGGAACCACCCAAAACAGCTCCGTGCCTTGGTGTGGGGGTGTTGGAGCCAGGGACTCTAAAATAGCGTTGAGAAGAGCTGGTGACAGAGGTTGTGGGAGAGGACTCAGAGATGGCTCTCTCAGCACCTGAATCATTCTGCCAGCCTGTGGATGTCTAAAATTACCCCCTGAGTCACTCGTGGTTGATTCATTCTTTGGGCCAGGCAGGGCCGGCACGGTGGCATGAACACCATCCTTGCACTGGGAGAAACTGGCAGCACTCATGTCCAGGTCCTCTGTAGGCTTGGCTCACGGAGCCTCCGGCACTGAAGGCTTCCAAGCGCACACTAGAGCCTTCGACTACTAAGCTGTGAAGCAGTGATGTCACTTCCACAGCCGCTAGGTCTTCCTGTGTCTCCTCTTGTCCTCTGCCCCTCTGCTAGTCCACCTGCACAGGTACTCCCGCCCCCTGCTGTGACCCCGTTGGGCCACTGTGGTTAGCCCCACCCCTGTAACGGGGCATCTTTCTTGCCTTTGTTTTGTATTGATTTCCCAAGAAGGAAAATGAATGGGAATTAAGGAAAGGGAGAAGTATTTCAAATATTTTGTAGTGTATTTCGTTTTGCTTAAAAATTCTTTTTTGGTGTGTATCTCCACCATTAAGAAAGAAACTTACTGCAAAGACTTATCTTTCTCTCAAGTGTCTGCTTCTTTGGAGCATTTCTCCACAACCATGTCAACATTGTCTCTCTCTATGGCATATAAGTGCATATCTACATGCCTTTACAAATAGATTATTTAATTTCCAAAACAGTTGTTAACCCTTGAATTTTTTTTATGCGTTTTGTCTTTGGCGGACATAGCAGCTCTTTTGTTTTCTATGCTATCGATGTGGGTTGAGTCTTTCTCTGTTTTCCAATTTGTCCTCTGAGTTGAGATTGGTCTGCTCCCTTTGTGGGGCGCTGTTTTGGCACACGCTCATGGTGGTATCTAGGAAGAGAATGCTGTGTTGGGTTTTGTGGTCTTGGTCTCCTTGCTGTCATAGCTCGGCTCTCTTTCCCTTGTGTCCATCCCTGACATCAGAAGGAGAGGGAGGGGGGAGGGGGAAGAGAAAGAAAGAGAGAGAGAGATTGAGAGAGAGAGTGCAAACAGGCAGAGCTTGGAAGTACATGGCTTAGGGTATCTGACTCAGGGAAGGGGAAGAATTCCAGTGCTTCCCAGAAGTGCCTTAGCTGGACTCACTGTTGTTCTCTTGAGGGCACCTTGTTTCATTTCTCTGGATACTTATCCTCTGCCTTCTTCTCTGAAGGCATAAACAAAGAGGAATGGGTGGAGGGTGGAAGCTGTGTGTTCCATGTCTGCAGCCCAACTGTCCTGTGGAATTAGCAGTGGAAGGGAGACCGGACTGGAGGAAGGGAGACTGGACTGAAGGAAGTCAGTAGAGGTCTCCATGCAGGCCAGAGAAGGTTCTGAGGTTCTCGGTGGAGTCCCTCTGCGACACTTCCCGCCACACTGAGGATGTCTGTATACTTTAGCTGTTCTGAAGGCCAGGCTAGAAATGGCCTTGGAACTCAGGTCTATCAGTCGCTGGGACACGCCACCAAGCCACAAGGAAGGCTGTGAGGAGGCCATGGTTGCCCAGATCCCTGTCTCCCTGCCATGTGTGTGTGTCCTGGCATGTGCCTCCCCTGGCAACGCAGTGTTGGGCATCTTCTTCCCAGCTGTGGATTCCACAGCGCTGTCCACTGCTTGACTGGCACTGAAGTTAGGCAAGGTCCTGCTTGGGTGCCTACTACTTTGGAGGTCCGCTTCTGATGGCCTGCGTGCCATCCTTGCTGGCTGTCACTGGTTTCTGGTGATGGCTATCACTAGGACTAAACTCAAGTCACTATCCAGAAACAGAGATGAAGGTTCCACCCTCTTGCGATTGTGCAAGCCCCTGCTGGCCCTGGGCTAGGGTGACTTCAGTGTCAAGGAAAGTCCTGGGTGGCAAGGAGCATTTGGCCATCCTGTTTTGGGAAAGGCCATGGAGCTCCTGCAGTGCTATGGGCCTGCCCCCTCTCCTCTTCCTGCTGGGCTGGCATCCATGTAGCTTCTGAGTGACAGAGCTGCTGTCCAGGAACAAAACCTGCCCAGGCGCCACAGACAGTGTTGAAGGATCCCCCCACCCCCAAAGATTTCCCCAACAGCGCATGCTTGTGGCCACAAGGGGACAATAAAAGCACAAGTTCTGCCTCGTGGGTGCTGGAGAGGTGCCTCACCTGAAACACTTTCAAACAGGCTGGCATCCTGCCCTGACTCTCTTCCCCAGGACAGCCTGCGTGCAGGGAGAGGCCACTTCCTGTTCTCCACCTTGACTGAGCTTGTGGAGTTTCACGAAGGGGCAGTTGTGGGCTCCGTGGGCCTTCCCTCTGCCTGTGGCTCTGACACGATCTGTGATCACTGAGAGCATGGTGGGAGAGAGAGTTGGAGGCCCTTTGGGTAGTGATCTCTGCTTCCCCACTGCTCACGGAAAACAAGGTTTCCCTGAGCTTTCCTCCCCCTCTGGTCAGATGGCAGCCAACCCCCAGGCCTCACAGAGACAGCACACACCCTCTCAGGTCTCCTGGGCTCTGAAGCGGGGGTATGGCCTGCAGTAAGGTTTTGTGGGGCACAGGGAGAGCTGCTGAGTCATTTTCTCAGCCCAAGAGGCTGGTATTTTCTCCAGCCATAGGGCTCTTGAGATACCATTTTCACGACGGAACTGCCTGTGACGGGATTTTCATGGCTAGCTGGTTTTCAGAAAAAAAACAAGAGTGCATAGGGTCTGCCATCATCCCCCAGATGGAGCAGGGGAGCAACTGTGTCCACAGCATCATAAATGTGATGGAGAACAGTGGGTTCGTAGAGAAGGAAAGCCGAGGTGGGAGTCCCCATTGTTAGGTGAGAGAGCCAAGGGACACGGGCAGCCATTACCAGACCTTGACATGGGAGGGCAGAGCGTTAGAGAGCACATCGGTCCAGAGGCAACAGGATAAGGTCATGGAGAGAGAGAGAGAGTGTGTTTGTGTGCGTGAGAGAGAGAGAGAAAGAAAGAGAGAGAGAGAGAGAGCCTTCACAGCTCTCAAGGAGCTGCACAGAAGAGACAGCTACCACACACAGCATGAAGGAATCCTGAAGCAAGGACCCTTCAGTTTCTAAGGACAATGGGTCCTGAGGGATTTCACGGTGGGGCACAGAGGCTCCTTACTACAGCCTGCCCTGGTGTGGCCTACAAGCCAGGCATGAGAAGGCAAAAAGGTGCTGGGGACAGGAGCTCCAACAAGGAGACCAACAAAGCCCAAACATCTGGGCTCAAGGGGACCTGCAGAGACTGTTGCATCAACCAGACGCCATGAATAAGGAGGATGTAAGCCTCCTGCTCAGAAGCAGCCCATAGGCAGCTCCATCTCCATGTGGGTCTTCTAGTAGAGACGACATTGACGTGAACGTGGTTGCCTGCTCTTTGATCACTTCCCCCTGGCAGAGTGTCCTTACTAGGCCACAGAGGAAGAGCATCCAGGCAGTCCTGATGAGACCTGATAGGCTAGGGTCAGGTAGTAGGAGAGGAGGACCTCCCCTATCAGTGGACTAGGGGAGAGGGACATAGGGGATGAAAAGGGAGAAAGGGTGGGACTGGGAGGAAAGGGGATGAGGGAGGGGGCTACAGCCGGGATACAAATTGAATAAATAGTAAAAAAAAAAAAAAAAAAAAAAATGTGATGTTTGAAAAAAAAGTAATTTTCATTGTTGGTATCTGTTCACATTTTCTATCACAGTCGTGAGAGAATCTGTAAACAGAGGCAGTTTTGTTTTCCTTCCGAACTTGCATTTTATTGCATTTTCTTCTCTTCCTTAGCTGGGACTTCCATTCTGTTGTCCCAGTGTGGCCCAGGACAGAGGGAATGAGGTAGGCAGTGTCCACAGGGCAGGGGCTTGCAATATTTAGAGACTGCCTCAGAGGGGCAGGTAGGTGAAGCAGACTAAACAGACCAGCTGCTGTCAGCGACCACGGTCTGACAGAGATTGCCTCTGAGTCACAGCGAGGTCTCAGGCCCCAGAAGCCTGCTCCTCCCCTTGCCTTCCTCCGTCAGATGTCCCAGGTAGCTCTACTGCAAAGTGTTCTGTCTTTCCTGCCTGTGGTACCAGCTCAACCTCTCCTTCATTTCATCCTCACAGATACGGACGAAGGACCGGGTCTTCGACAGCATCAGTCACCTCATCAACTACCACCTTGAGAGCAGCCTGCCCATCGTCTCTGCCGGGAGTGAGCTTTGCCTCCAGCAACCAGTGGAGAGGAAACACTGAGCTGGCCCAGCACCCCGCCCCCATGCCTTGTGCCAGGTCAGGGGGACCTGTGCTCCACTGCTCTCAGCCTGTGGGGACTGGGGTGGCTGTCTGTGGCTGCCACCTTCTTCAACAGCCCCCAAGGGAGGTTCCCTTCAAGTTCAAATTCCGTAAACATGGTCCACACATCTCAGATTCATATTAGAGGTGTATATGCCCACACGTCCTATATAAATGACCCCGATAATTATATTTTTAAGGCTAAAGAAGATGTGCGAGACTAATGCTGTATGCTGTATGTCTTTAGTCAGAGGCAAGTTTGACTGTAGTTGTTCAGGCAAAAGTTTTAATTCAACTGAGCCATTCTCCTGGGAAATTTAGCTAGGAAGGAGTAACCGCAGTTCCAGATATGCACACTACTCGGACACAGGTGCGCTGGCAGCTCCAGGACAAACAGAACTGTGGTAGATGGGCAGCGTGCTGCCCAAACATCTGCCCCTGGCCCTCCAGTTCTGCGTGTGTGCTGGCTCTGGGCGGCAGCTCCTGGAGGGAGGAGCCTTCTCTGGCCTGCTGGATGCTGCCTCCTGTGCCCCTAGATTGATGTCATATGAGTGGTTTTCCTGCCACAGGCTGAGCCACTGAGGCTTTACTCCAAAGCAGGCAGTGCTCTGGCTCATTTGGGTCATAGTTCAGCATGGAGACCCATAACCTTTGACCTCAGGTGTGTGTGTGTGTGTGTGTGTGTGTGTGTGTGTGTGTGTGTGTGTATTTGGGGGACCCATTTGAGGCCAAATATGATACAAGATAAGACATAAAATGTCTGACTGACAAATGCTTTCTTTGTTTCATCAGTATAGTGAGGGAATGAATGTCTGTGGAAGGCAGGATGGGTGTGTCCTTGGTCTGTATGTCCATCATGGCCTGGTATGGGGACCTCCCACCTACCTCTTGTATTCAGTAGAGCAAAAACCATGTGTAAGAGGCCTGTACCAGCTTCTGCCCAGAACTGAGCCTTGGAGACACACCCACTGGGTGCTCTTCCCAGGTCCGTGTGTGCTCAGTACTGTGCTCCAGAGTCTTTGGAACCAGCTAGAGTGAGGGAGGGATGGCGAGACTCCCTGTCTCCCCTCCACATCTTCTCAGTAGCCCCATGAAAAGGGACCACGCCCATGGCCCTCTGTCCTGACCCCCTTCCTACCAGCTCAGAAGCCGTTGTTTCATGATGGGGGACTTTGTGTTTCAAAGTTGCCTGTGTCTCCACCTTCTGAAAGAACATCTGGGCTACGAGCACGTGCGACTTAACAAACAAATGTTGCATTTGTTGGTTGGTGCCTCCCTAAGACTGCGACCTGGGGACTGATCCCCACGAGGTGGCACCCTGGCCCCGCAACGGGACTCTGTACACTGTAGGGTTGGGAGATCCTAAATTGGATTTTTTTTTTTTAGTAGGATGTTTTTTAGGGAACGTGTGTGTGTGTGGGGGGGGGGGGGGGTGTGTGTGTAGGGGGTGTATGGCTCCACGGTTAAGAGCACTGGCTTCTCTTCCAGGGGCTCAATTTCAATTCTCAGTGCCCACACAGCAGTTGGCAGCTGTCCCAGGCTATCTACCCTCTTCTGGCCTCCAAAGGCACCAAGCAGGCACGCCATGCACATAAACACTTGCCAGCTGAAACATGCACACATATAAACACAAATAAATCATATTTTTAAAGGAGCAGGTAAGGGGAGACTTGGCACTGGGCCAGTCAGGGTTCCCCATGGCTCTAATGGTGTGCGCGCTCTTGCTGCTGTGTAGTCTTGGATGCTGATGGCCGAGGCGGGGTGGGGCAGAGCCCAGGCTCTGTAGACGACCTCTTTGCAGTTTTTCCTCTTTGAGGGCCCACTGTATCCAAGATGGCAGTAGAACCAGGCTTCTAGTGTCAGCACTCCCTGCCCTGCTGCTTCCAGAACGGTGCTGGTGACAGACACAGGGTAGACGAAGCCCTGGAAACCATCAGATATGCTGGCAACCCCTGACTCAGACACTTGCCCTGCCCCATACATAGGCTCTGAGGTGTCCCAAGAGTCACCCTGTGCTCTGCCCCTCAAGAGGATGTGCCCTGTGAGAGAGAGCGCGTGCGCGCGCGCGCGCACACACACACACACACACACACACACACAGTCCTGCTGCTCCTGTGTGGGAATGTACAGCACATACAAAAAATATGAAAATAACCATTCTTGAATTCCCTACTTGGGCAAGTCTGTAATACTTTGTACTTGAGTCACGAGTAAAGTGTGCCAGACCATGAGCACCTCAACTTTGTGGTCTACTTCATTCCCCTCTCCAGGGAAGTTAAAAATTCGTACTCAGAAATAACGTATTTGTGGTCTCTGAAGTCAGTGTTGAGTCTGAGTGTGGTAGGACTTATAGGAACCAATGTAGAAAATTAAAATTATTGGGGCCAATGTTTTTCTTTCCAGCTTTAATCCAAAACATGTAATTTTGATCTCAGACTACAGGACTGGGCATGTGTTTAGGGGAGCCTTTTAGACACCTGGCAGACTCCAGAGGTTTACATCTTAGCCATATTCTGGCCTGTGATCTCTGTAAAGCATGTCCAAGCTTACAGCAGTGTATCATTTCTTTCTACAAACAATGTGTACGTGATGAGACATTCTCTCAAACCTCATTTACACATTGAGAAATGGAGCCTGCTTCAGGTCACATGGTTAGCTAACAGCAGAGCCACTGTAGTTACTCAGCATTTTCTCTGCACAGCTGCAGGCTAGCCAGGGCTTTGAGGCCAATGTTTGGAGGCAAACCCAAAAGAGCCTCCTCTGTGAGCCTGAGCCCCTCCTGCCTTGGCTCCTAGCCCGTATCTGCCTGGGTAGAGCAGAGTTGCAGGCCACAGAGCAGCAACTCTGGGCAGAACGGCACTATATTGCACATGCAGGGGTTTCAACTCCCAGGGCACAGTGGCTGAGTTTATGCCAGGCATGAGTGTGGAGTGTGCCTGGATCCTGTGCTCTTTTGGATACCCCACTACTCCACCCAACACTCTGCAATGATTAGTGGCACATGATGGGCCCAATAGTTTTAAAATAGCCTCTGTCTGCTCTTACACAGTGGCTCTGAAGCCATCCTTTGCCCTTCTGGGAGAGTTAGCTGTGCTTCAAATAGTTCTCCATGCGGGTGGGGCCGTCAGCCTCTTACGGGGCTGCTCATCCTGGTCTGGGCTGGCTCTGATTCTTGAACTTCTCCTTCCACCATAAGGTGTGCAGTCTGCTAACAGCACAGTCAAATGGCTCGATCTTCCAGCTATCCTTGTGTTACCATGGTGTTCTTTTTGTATTTAAAGGACCAAGAGCTCAGTCTTGATGAGCAGCTTTCTGTAATGGGCCACCTCAGATGGTGGACAAAATGGGTGATGCCAAGTAGGCCACACGTGGCAACTGTGAGGTTCTCCTAGCAACAAAGGCAGTTCTAAGTAAAGGCTGTGATACACCATGACCAGAAGGTAAAGCTTAGGTTGGAAGGAAGGAAAGGACAAGGGAGAATGAATTCCCTACAGCCCGTGGGCTTCAGGCCACAGTGAGCCCATGTCCAGGCTCTGTGTCCATCCTGGTGTCCTGAAGATGGCCCCTCTTTCAAAGGAAAGCTTTCCCATGGCAGCATGCAGCACCTGGCTTCCTATGGGAGTGGAATGGACAGCTTATTTCCAAGTTAGAGACGATACCACATTTTCTTCTTGTACGAGTGAGTTGAGTAGAAACCCAGCTTCCCTGAGACAGTAGTGCGGCAGTGGTCACCTCCATGAAGCTCAGCCCCAGCATGCCTAGAACAGTATGGGCTCTTTCTGAATGGTGGGTTCTCTGAAGCCATGGCTTGCGCCACACCCCACGGCTTCCCCCATTGACCCAAGGTGGCAATGCCATCTAGAAACTGCTTCTGGGGGTGGCAACAGCCAGATTTTAAGTAGAAAGAGGAGATCATGCACCCAGAAAAATCTGTGTGGTGCTAGTTCTCGTGAAACTTTTGAAGTGTTTTCCAAGAAAGAGAATGTAGATAAACCCCACTCCTGGAACATATTACAAACCTAGAAATCTTGGCTTTGTCTGGGAGGCTCTTGTTTGTTTGGTGAAGAAGCAGGAGCCAGGCTGATGGTCAAGGCTAGGTCTAGAAAAGAATTCAGGACTTACTGAGATCCTTTGGGGCGCAAATGTGTAGCTCATCCCCATGGCAGCAACAAGCAGTCCCGTTCTCCTCATGCTTCACATTTCAAAACACACAAAAGACTGAGTCACTTTCGTGAAAGAGAGAGTACTTGTGGTTGGTGACTTAGCTGCTATTCTACCAAAAGGGAGCTCTCCAGAGGGGATTTGGGCACACAGAGCTTATTTTGAAAATGATCCCAGTAGTCAGGAGGGATGCAGCTGATAAGGAATGATTTCATTGTGAAACACGTTTCTACCCTGTGTTGAGCCTGGGAGCAGAACTGAACACACCTGAAGTAGCCCGTGGGTGGGGCAGGGAGGAGCTCTGCCACAGCCAGCATGGATGGAAGCTGTCTCCAGCGAGCTCTGCCCAGGCCTGTGTACAACCATGCACATCTGCATGCACAGTCTGTGAGCCGGGACATTCTGGGGTGGAGTTTGGTGTTTGTGATAATCAGTCTCAGAGCAGGGGGCAGGCACGGAAGCTGCCTGGTCCACACATAAGTTTCAGGGCTCTGCCCCTTGAGCTTTTGACTTGAGAGCCTAGTGTGAGAATAGAACACTTGCCTTTTTCAGCACGAGGGCATGTTAAGTCAAGGGTCCTGGCTTTGACACTGACCGGTGGGTTTTCAGCCCTTCCTTGACTTACTGGTGGACCCACCCTCCCCTCCCCTCCTTTCTGAAGAAATTTTCACACCACGCCATGTTGTAGATCCCAGGTCCATGCTGTGAATTTAAAAAATGGAGAATTAATAAGTACTTCTAACTCTCTGCAACTGTGGCTGGGAGATAAAATGCCATCTGCCAGACGAGATTTATTTATAATGGGGTTTATACATATTTATAAGTTTGCAAGCAACAAATGCACAGTTTTAAAACTGGCACATTTTATAGCAGCCGGAAAAAAAATGCAACTTTATACCAGGGCTTTTGAGCGTGAACTGCGTGTGTGTATTTCGCACACACACATACACACACACACACACACACACACACACACACACACACACAAACTTTCTTCCGTTCAGATGGAATGTGCACTTCAGCTCGTGTGTGTCCACATGCAGGTCAGCTCTGTGACGGAGGGAAAGCAAGCCAGGTGTAAGTGGTCCACGTCCCTAACTCCAGCACGTGGGCAGTGGAGGCTGGAGGTTCAGCAGTTCAAGGCCTAACCTAGGCTGTGTGAGGATGTGTCTCCACAGAACTAAACAGAAGGTGGGGAGCAGCCAGCAGAAGACAGGGAAGAGGCAGGTGTTGGACAGAAGAAAAAGAGAAGGGGAAACACCCACAGACCCCTCAGCTTTTGTTGGTCCAGTACTGCCTAGGCACAACCTGACTTGGCTTGCCAGCCTTCCTGGCCACATTTGCATTTTGTATTCTGTGTAGCAGGCCCTGCCGGGACTTGTTTATAATCTAGTAGAAGCCCCGCCCCCAACACACACACACATTGGTTGGGATGAGGGAGGCCTTTTAGTGCTCAGGACTGAGCTGGGGTGCTGAAGGCTTTGCACGGTAGGTGGCGCTGTAGAGCCCGGAGGCAGACGGGTGCGAAAATTCAAGCTGTAACCCTTCACGGGAACTGCTGGTGTCAGCAGATCGCTGGAGACTGGGCTGAGAGTGAGCTCTCCTTTCCTCTCGCTGCTGTCTCAGATGGGTAAGTGAGTCCCTGAGGTCCCCCCAGCCCCCCACCAAACACACCTATGATTCCTCTCTTAGGGTGAAAGAGAGAAAGCGCAGGAAACGAACAGCTCTGCGTGCCCACTGTCCGTAGAGGACCGTGCCTGTGGAGTGAACCTGAACCTGAGCTGCCCGAGGTTCACGCTGGAGGAAACACCTTCACCACAACCAAAGTCACTCACGCTGGAGCCACGCAACAGTTCCCAAGGCAGAGACGAGCGGACCACCCCGTCCCGGGACAATGCGTTCCTTTTCCTCCATTTTCTTCTTTTGAGCACTACGTGTGAGTTGCCAATTGAGTGTTTCTCTGTTCGGCTGACTTTTGGGGGTAACTTGTTTCTGCGTATTGTGAAATTATGTGGATTTCTTTGTATTCAGAGTGAATCATTTAACGTCTAAAGTCCCCGGATGTCGGAGATGGCTCGGTAAATGTAATGTGTGACAAGGTATTTACTAGCTTTTCAAAAGCACCTGGATGGCCAGTTATACATATTGATATGTGAATATTTGAGGGGTTTTTTTTGTTTCTGTTAACTTTTGTGAAACACAAGCAATTGCTGTAACAGCAGTCTGTCTGTGCATATAGCCAGCCTCCCTTTCTACTTTGATACTGGCATAGAATTGGCTCCCTAAGTCACCCATGAGGAGCAGAACCATAAAACCAACTTCAAGTTTTCTCCCATTTTTCTACGATAAAACTTACATGATTTGACGAACATTTGGAGAGTCCCAAGATATAACAGGTGAAGGTAATTGGTCTAGATTCCCTCACCTCTGTGATGTTGCTTCCAGGCTCATGGCCTTCACCGTGGGCCTGAAACATCACACCCGAGCTTCTGGGATGAGCATGAGGAGGCAGTGAGTAGCATCCCCTCCCCATGGCCCCGGTGTAGCAGGTGGCAGGCCAACTCCTCTAGACACTGCTGCTCTTCCGGTTATGACTAGGTCCCGGAATGTGTGCCTTCATCATCCGCACAGCCGTCGATGCACCTCTGATTCCATAGCAGCCCCTCTGCCCCCTCCCCCGACTTAGACACTAAAAGCATTTGGGTGATGAGGTTTTTGCATTTGTCCGTACAGTTTCCAAAGCATGGAGCCAGCGATGTAATTAGACGTTTTCTCTAAGATGCACCTTTCTGTGAACGGCTCTCTCCCAGCACACAGGATAACCATGGCTCAAAGAGTGCGAGAAGAAACCATTTTCAAACAGTTAATTGTGTCAGTGACTGTAGGTGTAAGTCTGTTGGCAATAAAGGCTACTGTGAAAAGGGTCTCTTGTTTGCATGATGGGCATGATGGGGCTTATGCTTGTGTGGGGGGTGCCATAAAGCATGGGTAGAGGTCAGAGGGCAACTTGTGGGCATCACTTTTCTCCTCCTGTCATGTGGGTCCTGGGTATCGAACTCAGGCCGTTGAGTTTGGCGGCAAGTACCGTTGTCTGCCGAGCCAGCTCACTAGCCCTGGGTCTTGTAACGGTTCGCAGAAGACAAGAGGACAAGACTGAAACTTTTCTCTAGAAAGGAGGTGTTCTGTTTTTTCTCAGGAGGAAAAGAAAAAAAAAAGTAATTTGGCAGAAACAATTGACTGGAGCATAGGTGGCCGGGGGCAGGTCAGAGGAACCAGATGGTGAGAAGGCTGCACAGGGGATTTTCACGACAGATTGTAACAACTGTTGTGGCTTCACCAGAACAGCAAGCCAAACATGGGTCCTCTTTGTGTGGGATGCAGGTTAGGGGCTAGAACTTACCACATGAAACACAGTGAGCCCTTTCTGTTGGCTTGTTCACCCTCTGCGGACACCAGCAAGCCGAGCCCAGTCTCTGGTTGTACTACGTTTTTATTTTATAACTTTTATGATTTCTTCCCTACAAGGGGCTATCGCCGTTCTTCGAAACCTAGGATCTGGCTGGGAAATGGCTTTGTGGGGGATGGCCTGCATCTACGTAAAAGCCACACATGGCCATTTTGCCGGTAATGCCAGCAAGAGAAAGGCTGATCCTGCGGGCTTGCTGGCCGTTCAGTCTAGCCGAAACAGGCAGCTTCAGTTTCAGTGAGAGACTCTCTCCCAAAAAGTAAGGTGGAGAGCAACGTCGGGCCTCTCTCCCTGCATACTCAGTAATGCACAAATGTGCACACACACACACTCACCGCCACCACAACCAACAACAGTAAAACAGTATCTACCCAGACTGGCGTCAGCAGCATCCAGTACACTAAAGCTTCATTCTAACACCATCTACAAGATGGAGCTGGGGGATAAAGGGTTAAAGGGTTTCAAAATGTGGTCCTGAATCCTGTGAGACCAGGTACCAGGAGAGAAGCAAGACCAACCCCTGTACCCCCCGAGTATTTTTCTACTGAAAAATAGCAGGACAATCTGCCCCACAGACCTCTAGAAGGAGTTTATAGGAAGGCTTTTGGTTTTATTTACTATTAACACACAGAACCTGCAGGCTGTAAAGGTGGGCCTCAGGTTCTCTGGTGTCAAGTCACTTGTTTCTGACCTTTAGGGTGAGGGCTTGGGCACACCTTATGTCTAAACACTGTTTGGATGGCTAGTTAAGACATGTGCACTGGCATCATGGGTGATTGGTCAGTTTTGCAGGTGTCAGGTGAGCATGGTTAGGTTTTAGTGTGTTTTTAATTTCAGTTCCTTGACAGTCTGCCGTGCCACAAATGTAGCCTCCTGGTGGGAATGGTGGGCATGGCTCCCCACAATGGCTGCTGAAGGAAGCAGACACAAGATTTCACAAAGTCGGGGTCACGTGTCATGTATTACTTAATGCTCTGGGGCCAGATCCACGGCCCGGAGCATTTCAAGTACGGAAGAGCACTTCCTCAAGCCCTTTGTTTCCCACCTCAACTCCCCTACCCACGTAACTGTTATTTATTTATTTTTCCTTAAGCCTGCACCTTCATGCTTCCCTTTCCCAGGACTGCTTTGGGTTTTTGTCTGTGCCCTGCAACAAGCAAATAAGTTATTTTCTCAGTGATGTAGAGAAAAGAGCAGAGCAATGCCCAGCAGAACACCTCAGCAGTGTGCTATGTTCATCAAGAGTGACATGAGCAAAGTCTTTAATCAGTCAGCCCGAGGTTACCTAGAACCCATGAAATGTCCCTAAGCCAGAACCAATGCTTATGTAACTACCAAGAGTGAATTCAGCTTTTGAAAGGTCCCCGGCGTGTAAAGGCTGCCTTGCAGGGTTCACAAGGCAATGGTCTCAGATGCTAATCACCTTATGGGGAGCTCTGGGATGAAGTTCCCCCAAGTGAGTCCCTCTGAAGGCTTCTCTGGGAGCTGGCCACTCCCCCAACACACCCCCTTTCCATCTGTGTGTGCCGTGGGCGGAGGGAGCCCTGTGGAGGGGATGTTCAGGGGTGTCTTCTGAGCTTTTCTTTTACAAGGTGACAGATGAAAGCAGGTCCAGGCGGTGGGAAGCAGAACGTCCATCGGAAGGGAATGGGGATGGACATCATGCTCCCTAGCCTGGCGGAGTCCTCTCACTGAATGGTCCTGGTCAGGGTCTACGTTGAGGGAGTTGAGAGGCTTTTCTGATAGCTCCAGCTCCTTGTCAGTGACAGCAAAGGGGATGGTGGGCATTGCGTTCCTCTGGATAGGATCACCTCAGCCTGATCTAGTAAGGCTGATGGAAATTTCACCGCTCGAACTCCCTCGTGCAGCAGGTGGACTCCAGTCCCTCGGAACGGTGATCCACGGTGGAGAACACCCTGCCTCACCGTGTGGGCGGCACCTTCGTTAGTGATCTACCGGATTCCAAGAGATCCTGGCTGGCTTTTCTGTGATTTTCAGAAAATGCCTGAATTACCACATCATTTGGCTCTCGGGTGGCTTAAGAGAGACACAGGGACGTGAGGGTCGGACCCACATGCCTGGACTGCTCTTGGGTGAGGCTTTTGAGACAACAGGACTTTAGTAACCCTTTCACGGCTATGATCTAAAACACCAGGGCACCGGCACTGGAAAAGGGGAATCACCTCACCACATGGTGATCTTGAGCCTGGCACAGCGGGGTGGGCAAGTTTGGAGAAACAGTTACATAACGTGTGGAGGGCTGACACTTCTCGAGGGCTCCACCTAGGAAAACCTGGGGTACACGCACCCCGTGCAACACAGCAACAGACAAACACATACACGAGCACCCATTCTATGAAAGAATAAATGTAGTGTGAAAATAACGAGACACCATCCCAAGACACGCCGGCACGGCCTGCCCTCCTCCTGGACCGGAAGTGGCAGCGGAAGGCAGCGGATGATGTCAGCAGCTCTGTACATTCGGAAGGATGGAGCATGCAACCGATAAGGCATGTCCAAGCCTGGGCTGAAACGTGTTGGTGATTCCCTGGGTGCCCTCCCCAGGAGACGCCCACACTGTCTGGCCACGTCAAGCGGACCTCCAAAGTCAAGGTCTCCAAGGCCCCACGTGGGAGTAATGCATGCAATAAATAGGTGCAGAGCCTGCCCTGTGGAGACAATCACTTGCAGGGCGCCCCATTGTGAAGCGATCTGTTTTTGTCAACGCTGCAGGACGAGGTGGCCCCGTGGGGCAGGTCTCCCTTGACCTTTGGAGAGTGGCTGTTACTGGAGCTCGATTTACTTCTGCTGGGGTCCAGGGCAGGCTGCATGGGCGAGGCCTGAGTCCCCTTGCCCTTGACCAGACAGCCGCACACCAGCCGAAAGAAGGCCCGCCGCATCTCTTTGCTGGCCAGCGTGTAGATGACAGGGTTCATGGCCGAGTTGAGGACGGCCAGCATGATGAACCACTGACTCTTGAACAGGATGGAGCACTCCTTCACCCTGCAGGCCACGTCGATAAGAAAGAGGATGAAGAGGGGGGACCAGCAGGCGATGAACACGCCCACCACAATCACCACGGTCCGAAGCAAGGCCATGGACCTCTCAGAGTTGTGGCTGGCCACGCGGCGGCTGCTGGACTTGACCAGGAAGTAGATTCGAGCGTACAGAATGACGATGGTCACCAGAATGGCTGTGAAGATGCTGATGAGGAAGGCAATGTACTTCTTGGAGTAGAGGGGCAAGATGGTAGAGCAGTCAGGAAAGTTCTCCAGGCAGTTCCAGCCCAGGATGGGCAGGGCGCCCAGCGAGAAGGCGATGAGCCAGCACATCCCAATCAGAAGGAACACGCGGTGCTTCTTGTTGGCATCATACGGCCTCATCTTGATCATGGTCAGGTGCCGCTCGATGGCGATGGCCAATAAGCTACAGGTGGACGCGCCCAGGGCTACGAACATACTGCCCTCCCTGAGGAACCACACCGTCGGGGACAGGCTGAACGTTTTCCGGCCGGACATCAGGATGTTGACCTTGTAGGCTATCCCGGCCAGCAGGTCGCAGAGAGCCAGGTTGCCGATGAAAAAGTACATGCGGTTGTGAAATTTATTGTTTTTCCAGATGGCAATCAAAACCATCAGGTTCTCCAAGACGATGAAGCTACAGGTGACCAAGAAGAGGATGGTGGTGATGAGGGTGCCTCCCTCAGGGGGGTCCCGCAGCCTGCCTGCCAGCTTCCCCACGTAATCGTAATGTTCCCGGAGAGTATCATTCCCCAAGACCGGCTGCTGGCCCTGCGCATGCGTGGTTGCCATGACTTCCTCCAGCTAGATGGTTACCTCAACAGTCCACGAGAGGGCGCGCCAGGAACGTTCATTTCAGGGAACAATTGGCATAGTGGTGGTGGGTTCCGGCAGGCGTGCAGGCCTGGCTCCAGCAAGAAGGTTGAAAGTAGGCTCTGTTAACGAGATGAAAGCAGAGGGAGTTTTGGATCATGTGGTCACCTTTAGCTGCTCCTCAGTGTCGAGCTAACGCGTGTGGAGGGCTGGTGTGCAGGGAGGGCTTGGAACACAGTCAAGTCTCTAAGATTAGGGAATGCTGGTAGAGGCCTGGAGCTGCCAGAGAAGAAACCTCAAAGTGCGAATCTGTAAGTCACGTCAGGTCAGACTCGAGCAAGCTTTCGCTTGGAAATCTCCAGGAAATACTGGGTTAGTTTTCACCCACCACGTGGGAGCTGGTAAATCCAGCCGCAGAGGAAATCAGACTTTTCTCAGGATGAGAAAAAGGGAGGGAAGGCAGGAGAAGGAAGGAAGGAGAGGAAGAAAGGAAGGAAGGGGATAGAAAAATCAGGACGCATAGCAGAGGGAATGGTGTCTGAGGGACTTCCGGGGTTTTGACGGACACCTGGGAAGCACCCCATACTTCCTTGGACCCATTCCCCTGGGGTTTGGATGGGCCTTTGGCCCACCTGGCAGAGAGCCCTACAGCCTGACTACCCAGGGGGGGCCGGAAGAGCAGCCTGAGGCTGTGCAAGAACCCTGGGCCACTGCACCGAGCAGAGCAGGGGAGGGAGGAATGCCAACTGCCCCGGAAGCAGCTGCTGCTGAGGTTAAAGGAAGAAAGGAAAAAAGGAGGGAAGTTACATGAACTTGGAGTGCAGCTTGAAATACAGAGGTCTGGGCTGCGAGTGTGAACTAGCATATTCATAGTGCTGGGAATAGAAGAAAGGACGAAGAGGGATTGCGGTGTGTGTGTGAGAGAGAGAGAGCCAGAGCGTGTGCATGTGTGTGTGGTACAAATGCTTGCACCGGTGTGTGACTAAGCCTGACGCTCACCCCTGCAGCCACGATGTGTTGAACTGGCTTACCGCTCATCTCCATCCACCCCCGTGATTCTGAAGCTCCACAGAGCAGCTGTGAGGGCGGTGCCTGAGTTTCATGGGTTTACCATTTATGTTTTATTTGTAGTTGACACGCCAAATTGTGCCTCCTCAATGGTGGGGTGTGGTGGTGCTGGGTGCCTACATCAGTAACAATCAAAGCCACTAGCATTCTCACCTCCTTAAGCATTTGCAAGTTTAAATTCCTCATGGTGAGAACCAAGCCAACTCCCCACGCTGCACAACTCTAGAACTGATTCCTCTGTCCAGCTGTGAGTGTCTAATCTCTGTCTGCTCCTCCCAATCCCCTCTCTAGACTCACTGATTTGAAATCAAAGTTACTGGATTCTTAAATATCTAATGAGGTCCCGGTGAGGTGAATTGGACACAGCCCTGCCTTGAGTACCTGGTTAGGGTTTATTCGGTGTTTAGCCGCCGGTTCCGATCTGGCTCCTAGACATATGGACCAACACAGCAGGGCCTTAGCCACCACCAGGAGCTTCTTCCATGGGTCAGGAGTGACTTTAATCCCTGAAGGATTCCAGGGTCCCCTCTGTAGGTGGTGCCACAGGGCTGAGAAGAAGAAGTGATTCCAGAAGGGCCTGCGCCTCGCTGTGACCCTCTGATAGCAGTGGGCACTGTGCCAGCCCTTTCTCGGGAGGCCTTAGCATTGGTGATGTTGGAAAGAGACCCCTGGCTTCCTGGGAGAGACATCTTCTAGTCTCCTGGCCCCCAGAGGCACCTGTTGTTCTGGAATCCCCAGGAACTGTCTGAGCTAATGTCTGCATTGTACCTGGAACTGCCCCTGGCCCAGTCCATCTATAAGTTGCCTGGGATCACAGAGGGCCCGAGCAAAGGTCAGCTTAATGCCGCTGGCTGGCAGAGCCTTTCCCCTGCCTCCTTCTAACTTCAAAGAGTGGCTCTGAGGCTGAAGTGTCACAGAGAGGGCTCACAGCTCAGGACCCCTGTCATCCGTTAAAGCCCCTTCTCACACCCAACCAGGCTCCTCACTGAGCTTCTGAAGGTTCCCTGAGGCAGGCAGGACAATTCTGAAAATCCTTTCTACTCTTATCCAACCTGATTATTGTTGTCATTGATGACGACAGAGGATATCATGTGACCTAGCCTGACCTGGAAGTTGCTATGATGACCTTGAACTTCTGACCCTCCTGCCTCTTTGCCTCCTAAGTGCTGGGATTACGAGTGTGATCCGCCATGCTCTGTTTTATACAGTGCTGGGCACTGGGCTCAGAGACTCTCAACTGCTGAGCAAACACTCTGCTAACTGAGGTACCCCTGCCCCCCAGCCCACCCCTCCTGGTGTTTGTTTAAATCTTGTCTGTCTGTCAAACCCTAATTCACACTTCACTCACCCTGTGGTATCTTCTAGGGCCAGGCCCGCTCCCACCCACCCCCCCAACATACACATGACCTTTCCTCAAGGATGCCATCACTTTAAGAAAAACATTGCGAAAGCTCTCACTTCAAGACTAGAAGCTATAAGCAGCCACAATTTTCTGAGAAGCAACAACCTACTTGTCAAAAGCAACTTAGGGCAGGAGGGGTTTATTTGGCTCACAGTTCAGGGGTACAGTCTGCCATGGTGGAGGAGGCATGGCAGCAGGGGCCTGCGCGGCTGGTCACACGACAGCCACAGTCAGGAAGCAGAGAGGCGAATGCTGGCGCTCAGCGGGCATTCTCGGTTCGTTTACTCCGTCCAGCGCCTCAGTCTTCGGAACGGTGCTGCACCCACGTTTCAGCTAACCTGATCTGGAGGGTAGACGTGCCCGGATGTGCTTCCGTGCCGATTCTAAGTCAAGATTAGACACTGACGGTGGGAAAGGTCATCATGACCAGCCTCCTGTCCTGTGGGTGCTGTCTCCTGTCCCAGCAGCTGGCCAGAGGCCTTGCCCACTTACATAGTGGACCTGCCAGTTCCTACAGATGTTGGAGGAACCATCCCACACTATTCTCTGTCCTTGCCATGTGACTAGCTGTGCCACCCACAACACCGAAACACCCTGGATGGTTTTCAAATATCACTGGGCTACTGCTCTGCCATCAAAGGTTTCTGTCCCGGAAACGAACAACATCTGACACCCCAGCTCACAACACAGGTGAAAACTGAGGTTCAGCTCCAGGTTTCTCATTCTAGGGAAGATGAATAATGTTAGATTAGCCTTTGTGTGCACATGTGTCTGTGTGGAAGCCGAGGTCACTCTCGGGTGGTGTCGCTCAGATGCTGTCTACCCGGAGTCTGTTTGTTATGGTTGTTGTGCTTTCTGTTTGTTAGTTTCCGAGGCAGAGTCTCTCACTGGCCTGGAACTTATGTAGTAGACTTGACTGGCTGGCCAGCAGGCCCCTAGAATCCTCCTGTCTCTGCCTCCCCAGCACTGGGACTGCAAGCATGCACCGCTGCACCCTGCTTTTTCACCTGAGTTCTGAACTCCGGTCCTCACACTTGAGAGGCGTGCCCTATACCGGCTGAGCCATCGCCCCCAGCCCTTGGGCATTCTTACACTGACTCAGGTTGTTTCTAGTGTCGTGCTTTCCCAAACTCCCACAGCACCTGACACACCTTATCGCTTCCCAGAAAGTTTGGACTTTTGCCTCAAGCATGAGTGGAAGGGGAGAGAGTCCCTGTAAATTAGGCGGATCCAGACTCCCGCTAGGACAGCTGTTCTCAACCTGTGGGCTGCGACCCCTTTGGCAAACTCCAAAGATCTTTGTTACAATACATAATAGTTGCAAAATTACAGTTATGAAGTAGCAACGAAAATAACTTCATGATTGGAGGAATCACCACAACTTGAGGAACCGCCCTAAAGGGCGGCATCGTGAAGAAGGGTGAGAACACTGCTCTGGGAGAAACAGAAGTCAAAGAAAGACAGGGATCTCTGAAAAGCATTATCTTTTTCTTCCTGCATAGAGCTCGAGCAGAGTGAAAGAAAAACAAGCCAACAGTAAAAACAAATGCCTAGCAATTAAATAACCACAATAAAAATAATAGTAGACGTGCCAGGACTTGCGGAGGCCAAGGGCCTCCAGGCTAGCCTACTTTGCCACTAAAGCCCGGACTATGGTTCCCCTTAGCTAAAGCTCGTCTCTCAAGCAGTGGAGATTTTCTAGAGCATCTTTTGTTGGATACGATTCTCTGATCCTCAGGTGTTTTCAACTTGAAGCTGTCTGGCTCTCTGGGACACACACACACACACACACACATATATATATATTCTCTGGTTCATTGAGATTATGAAGCTGACCACATCCTGGGGGCTAAGTCCTGGGCTAAACACCAGATTGATTTCGGATACACGCACACATCACTGTGCATGGTCAGAAGTAGGTCACAGCAGTTCTTCCCTCCATGCGGAAGGGGTGCCACTCACAGATCAAAAGGAAGCAGCCTGAGCCGTGGGCACCAGGGAGCTCTGCATAGGGTTAGGTGTGGGTTTCAGTGCTTCAAGCAGTGAGTGCACCAGGAAGTCAGCCCGCCACACAAACAACCAGAACACTCTTGGGACCAACGCTCAGATCAGCAACAGGCCACAAGAGGTCTCTGCTGGCCACTGCCATCATCCAGTGTGACCAGTGTCTGGGTTTCTCACCCCGAGTGAATTCATGCTGTTTCTTTTAGTATATGAATGAACCCATGTGATTCGCCACATCGACATGTCTCCCTCCACGGGATCCTCACGTGAACCAAGTCTGTGGATGCAACCAAATCCTGCTTGCTCTTAATCCGTGTGTGTCTACACACCCCATCTACAGGTCTGCTTTACCAACGAGGACAATTTTTCCCATGGCCAAGTCTCCTTTCTCACACGTCCTTTTGGTGAACAGTTGCCCAAATCTTTGCAGGCCCCCTTTGGTTTCTAGGGGGCCCCTGGGGTCTAGGGTTGGCTGTAACCATGACCCAGAAGCGCAGGTCTTTCTGACAGATAGCTGTCCAGATAGGCCTGTAAAATGGGCTTTGGTAGGGTCAAGGTATCCCTACCGAAGGCAAGGTGGATTCAGCAGGCAGTTTGCATTGTGCTTTGGAGAAAGGATGGGGTCTGTGGCTGGCAATGACAGTGTGAGTTGGACTGCTGATCCACTTCCTCTGGAATGAGTGGAAGCCCTTGGGCCTGGGAGATGATAGGGGTGTAAAGTCCCTTCTTCAGGGGCTGAGAGCCTAGGACTCAGTGTGTGTGGAGTCCCCAGTGCCAGGCGCGACAGTGCCCTTCTGTAATCCCAATACTCCCCCACAACGTGGGAGGCAGAGGCAGGAGAATCCCTAGATTAGCCAGTTAGCCTGGTGTACAAAATAGTGAACAAGAGACCCTGCCTCAAACAAGATGGGAGGCAAGGACTGACGCCTGAGGCAAGGACTGACGCCTGAGGCTGTCCTCTGATCTCCAAACACAGGTCAGCATAGGTGAACATGTGCACAGCCACACACATGCTTGAGGGCACGAGTGGGTGCACACACACACACACACACACACATGCACGCACACACACACACACACACACACACACACGCATGCACACGCGCGCACACATGCACATGGGATTTTTTTTTAAGAAATCTGTTGTCGAGGTTGTGGTCACACACCGACTAGTCTGTGTGTCTTCCAAAATCCCAGGATAGACAGGTCCTACTGGGCTCTAGGGCAGAGGGCTCCCTCAATGGCACTGGTTTCCCAGCACAGGTTTGTAGGCCGCCCCTTGCCTGTGTTCACCAGCACTCCCAAGGTTTGCACTAGCAAGCACTCTGACACCCCAGCCCTCCTCACTCCCCGCTTCTGTCCCCCTCTGATCCAGTGGGGACTGAACTGGAGTCCTTGGTCCCTCTGTTTAATTGGAGCAACTGCTCACATCTGAGCTGTCCTCATCCCTGTCAACTGAGTCTTCCAGCTTCCAGCTTCGGCCCCAGGACTCTGGGGTCACGCGGCTTTCCTTGAAGCACTCTGACACCAAGCATGTTTTCTTTTTGCCAAGAAGGAAGGAGAGGCCCTAAGCAGATGGCCCCATGGTGGGTGAGCCCCCTCCAGTATTAGGCGTGCCCGCCCCGCCCCCAGCCGATCCAAAAGCAGCTTCCCTTGGGGCATGCGAGCCTGGGAGAGGGGTCCGATGGATTCCAGATGTGCCTTCCCTGCTAGCGACTCACTTTCTCCATATGTCAGATTAAAAAGTAAACAAACTATAAAAAGAAGGAAGAGGAGGGAGAATATCCCGTCGTCTAGTGTGCTCCCTTCCTCTCCTCTTTTATTCTTTTCTCCCTCCCCCCCCTTCTCCCTTTCTCAAAAATCTCAGCGAAAACTCTCTTGGTCAGAGGAAGGACTCCATTCTTTCACAGGCATGCAGAGGCATCAGTGACCCCATCCTCCAAAGAGAACTACAGCTTTCGGCATTTGACAGTGGCAACATTTCTTAGAAAGCCAGAGTTTGTTTTGTTTTCTTTTTCATTTAAAAGAACCGTGAAATGAAATAGCCAGTTCCTAGCTCCCACTCCTGGAAAGTTCCTTTGCTAATGAGTCCCTTCGCTCTGGTTTCCTGGCTGGACCTCACTGTGCCTCCAGAGACAGTTCAGGGCAGAGTGGAGGCCTCATTCACAGAGTTTCATGCCCTGGGTGTGCTGAGCCAGGCTCATCAGTGAAGACAAAGGTTACTGATGAAAGCAGCTGAAGGCTTTCCCACTTTTTTCCTTCAAGCATGGCTACAAGTCCCTCTGCGTGGTGGGGCTTTCCAGGTCCTGCTGTCTGCTATACTTGTCCTTCTCCTTAGCAAGATGATGTATGAATTCGGATGTGGTCCAAGAAACCCCATATATGGAGGCCATGTCCCGAGAACACTGGATGCCGGATGACCATCCCAAGCATCAGACTTGTCTGTTGGAAGTCTGTGGATTATGGGGCAAGAGCTGTATTTTTTTTTTCTCTCCTTTGCCTGCAAGTCAGTCTTTTCAAATTCTCCCTATGGTGCTTGTTCCCGGCAAGGGCAGGGGATCAACTTAAGGCCAAGCTTTCCAGAAAACAAATGTAGATGTGTGGAAATAGCTTCCGTCGGGAAGTTGAGGACATGTGCAAACATGAGGTGCCCAGGAAGTGCATCCTGGTCACTCTATATGTCACATCTAGTCCCCACGTGGCCTGTGACTTCTGAATGAACACAGGGGGAAACTGAGGTTCTCAGTGCAGAGCCTGGCGAGGCTGGATGAGAGGCATCTGTCCCAGCCCACCCCTTCAGGGATAAGGTTTTATGGGAGGGGGCACTACTTGTCGAAAGCCCCTTAACTAGGAGGTGCTAAGAGCTCTCAGTGTCTTTACAGCCTAATTGCTTGTAGCTACTGGCATTCCAATGCCAGCCTGGGAGCTTGGTGGAATGTTTAGATAAAGACAGGAGCATAGCAGCCAATTAAAGGACACAGTCAGGCTGCTGGGAGCCCCTTCCAAGCACTTGTGAAAAAATCTTTTGGAATACAATAGCATAGATCCACAATTGATAAACACGGAATTGTGAACACAGACATGATGCTAAGATTCAGGGAATGGCAGCACCACATCCCGGGTGACACAAACACCTTGTCTAAGAGTGGCCTCTTAGCCTTTGATGAAAAAAGGGGGGGGGGTTCAACTACCACAAGGGAACGTCAACATTTTAAAAATTATGACATTCAAATTTTTATTATTCTTTTAACAAAAATACACCCATAACCTGTAGGCGTTGGGGAAGAGTTCTGTGGAACAAAGTTTCAGGCTTGCCAGAAGAAGGACTAGTTCCTGACTCATGGGAAGCAGGTCATCAGGCCAGTAAGTGGTTATGACATCATTCTTCCCATAGAGTGGTAGGGGGCTTCCTGGGAGTGGGCTCTGCAGGTGGGCTCTCTGGTGTATGTGGACGGAATCACGCTGGCCAGATGTGAGCATCTGCTGCTCTGCAGAGGTCTATGGCAACACAATACTAACTCTCTCTCTCTCTCTCTCTCTCTCTCTCTCTCTCACACACACACACACACACACACACACACACACACCCCACATATAGCATCCTCACCACTACCGCCACCACAACTTGCCAGCCACTGACCTGCAATAGGAAACTCTTTACTCCACTTTCTAGGAATTACAGTTTCTTGACCCTGTCTGCCTGGTTCTCACCTGTGAAGGACGGAACTTTGAGAGCCAATTTTTGTAAGTGTTGATAGGCAATACTGGAGACTTCTGACTGCAGATTTTAGAACAATGAGTGACTCTGGAGATTTGGGGTGGGGGATTACAGGGAAGGAGACCCCCTTCCTCTCATTCAGGATGTCACACATCTCTTTCTGTGGTGTTCAGAGCAAAGCCTTCCGTTTAAACAGCTGGTAAGAAACCCCTCTTACATCTGAATACAAGGAATATGGAATCAGAATATCCAAGGCCAGAGAGACAGAGTCTGTCCGTGCACAGACAGGGCAAACGGCCACCCTTCCCTCTCTTCTCTCTCAGTTAAGAACCTACATACCGATTTTCCCTGGGAGCCTCATTATTGCATTGAGACATTTTTGTCTTCCAGCTCCAGGCCTGGCATCCTTAATTGCCTAGTTTGAGAAATGCTAGGAAAACTGGAATTTTGCAGCTAATACAACTTAAAAGAGAGATTTTTCTTTCCCGCAGCGGGAAAGCCACAGCCACCCCCAGCTCCGGGTTTTCTTTTCACGAGGATATATAACTTCATTAGCCAAGAGAAGCAAGGAATTTTCGCTGGGAGAGCCCGCCTCTCCGCGCAGGGTTTACCTTTTAAAAGCCCTGGTTGTAATTTAAAAGAATCCTGTACCTCTCCACCAGCCCTGGGAGGCGGCTATGTCCCCACGGCGAATAGCTGGAAAAGGGGAGGAGGTGCGGATGCGAGGCATTCGCGAGTCCAGGTCACTGTAGTGCCCCGACTTGGTTGGAATATTATCCAAAAAGTGGTCCTGGTGGACCCCTCCCAGCGGCTCAGGTTTGCGATACTCGGTCCGGGTCCCGCGGCTCACCTCGGTCCTTAGGGCGCGCCTGGGCTGGCTGCATGCTGCCGGGTCTCAGCTGAGACTGCAGGCTCGGGGCTCCGGAGTCGCTCACTCGTGGCCTCGGGTCTCTCCGACTCGGCTCGTCCAGCCACCTCGCTCAGCACCCGGGTCTCGCCGCCTGACCCTGAACTCGTCCGCCCAGACTCTGCCCAAAAGGATCCGAAGGGCAAACTTTTGCAACGGCCCTCCGGGGCGGGGCCCGGAGCCACCCCGCCTCCCGGCGCCCCTACCCCAAGCCAGAGCTTCAGCCGGCTGGTCCCGGCTGCACCACGGTCCCCAGCCACGTCCCCGCCCCGGGCCACGGCCCCGCCCAGCCTCTCTGCCAGTCTGCTGCACCCGCGCTGTCCCGACCCCGGACCCCAGCTGGGGCTCTTCGGCTCTCTGGGTTTCCTCTGCCCCTACTCCTCCACCGATCACCCTCCCTTCCTCCCACACATACACACACACACACACCGGACCCTGACCCCCCCCCACACACACACACACAACCCGGACCCTGACCCCAGGATCCTGCGTCTGTCCCTCGAATTCTACGTGCTCCAGGACACAGCAGCTGCCGGTTCCGAACCGGGTGCAGGGCTGGGCTTGGGTAGACGCCTACCTAGACGGCCAGAAGATTTGGGGCATCCTTATTAATATGACTTCCCTCGAGATGACTAGTGTTAACACTACTACCTCTAACTTGAAATTAACCGACTACCAGTTTGAGCTGGTAAGCCAAGCCCCCTGGACCCCTGGACTCCTGCCCCAGCCCCCATTCCTCTCAGAGCTACAAGGCTGGGACCCTCCCAGCCCCCAGTCCCCTGTGCCTGCCAGGTCCTGGTTCCTGTGTCTTGCCTGCCTTAGCTCAACCACCTCTATCACACCCTAGACTGCTCCTGTGCTCTGGGCAAGCCTCACCGGCCATGTTGGGAGAAAGGGAGAAATGAGAATCTTTGGAAGGGAATTGCACAACTGTCAGTTACAAAGGAAAAGGTCTCTAGACCAGCTTGGGGCGGGAGAAAGGAGGGGAGGAAGCAGAGCGGGGATAAATTCCCAGGCCCCCGTTACCTTTTTAAATGTGCTTTCTTGCCTACAGAAGATGAATTTGGAGCAGGACACGGCTTACTTGGAAAGGCAGGACTTGGCTGGCCTTGGCCTTCTCTGTTGCCTGGTGAGAAACACAAGCCCTCAGGGTCATGAGCCCTGCCTGGACTGGGCTGCAGGGCTCTGCCTGTCTTGGCTTCTCAGTGGCAGCACCATTCCCCCTGAGCTCTGGACACACTTGCCTAGCCTTCCAAATTTGTGTAGTGTCTCAGACACCGCTGGGGAAAAGCTATTTCTCTCCCCAAGTGCAATGGGAAGGAGTGTGTCTCAGCGTGTGTGACTCCTACAACATCCCGTTAAAGAAGGAAGAAGCGGCTGCAGTTGAAGATGCTTCGGTAGCTGTTTCTATAGCCACTTCCTGTGGCCAGGGTAACAATGCAGCTCCTTGGCCAGTGTCTAACCTCACAAAAAGGCTGAGACCCTAACTATCACTGCCATGGCCAGTGGAGGGTCATTTTCACAGCATCTGCACCTCCATTCCCCAGGAAAGCCATCCTCCTGACAGAAGAGGGTAGCCCCAAGTCCCTGTGACAATTTTTCCGACCTCAGACTCACTCTCACAGACTGAGAGGGACCAGGGCGCCTACTGCTAATGACAGGCTTTTCCAAGAGTGATTCCACCAACGGCATTCCCGAGGTGTCCCTAAAATCTGTCTTCTCTCTCTCTCTCTCTCTCTCTCTCTCTCTCTCTCTCTCTGTAGCTTTAGCTGGTCTGGACTCACGCTGTAGACCAGGCTGGCCTCGAACTCACAGTGATACACGCTGTCTCTGCCTCCCAGCGCACTGGGATTCCAGGTGTGTGCTGCAGCATGCTCAGCTGAAACCTGTCTTTCAGTGATGCCTCTTTTCCCTCAAAGATTCCCCGCCAGAAGCAGCTGCCCAGGCCTCCTTCTCCCTGATGATGGCCTCACCTTATCCACTGTGATACAATGCCTACCCCTGTCTGTTCTGATGGAGGCTCTAGCTCTCTCTGCTGAGATGGAGGTCTTTCCTCGGTCTACTGTGCTGGGGACCTTATCCCTTCTGCTGCTCTGTATCTGGACTTTAAAGCTCAGACACTCGGCTTTCACAATGGGTCTCCAGGCCCCTGGAATCCTCCACAGACAAGCTTCTCTGCCTGCATCTTCCAAGGGAAGCAGCTCTCACTTCAGGTTTGTTGATTAGAAGTCTTCCCTTGTGTATTGCTGCCCCGAGAGAAAAGCAGTTCAGAAGCTCAGCAGGGACAGGGGAGTTAGGGAGTCCTCATTCTGCAATCGTTCCTGAAGGATGGAGTTAGACAAGCGTGTGTAGGTGAGTGTGTAGGAGAGCGGGCTGAGCACACAGTGCTGGCTGGAGATGAGGATGCATTTTCCATGGAGATGTCAGCAGGTGTCTGATTATGCGGTGTCTCCCAGGCTGAGCCTTGGGGTACTCAGGCACTCTCTGAGCCTCGTTCTCAGCATGCTTCTCAGAGTGTTTGGGTGTGATCAACATCTGACTGCTGAGTTAGATGGCTGGCCCGTGTGGGGTTTTCTCCAACCCCCTCGGGCATGAATAGGCTGTTCAGAGGACACTCCTGGAAGAGAGCACTCCCTGGCTAACTGCCTTTGGCTTATCCGCAGTGGTGCGTATGGCTTCAGACTTCAGCTGGGGCCTTAACTGCACAGGGTTTGGACGTACTGCCTCCACGCACGGGTCAGTCCCTCCTGGAAGATGCGTTTGTGTCACACGTGGGTGCATACGCGTACACATCCTACTGGACTGCTTTTCTGGGGAACCCTGACTGTTGGCATGATGGTCCCAGATAAAAAGCAGAACATTTTACAGATAGACACCATGGGAGAAAAGGGCTCTCTCGAGGCGATACTGGGGACTTGTGTCTTGTGTCACTCTGCAATTTGACAGACAGCCCAAGCCACTTCCCCTCTGCTGGCTTGCACCACAGATTTTGAGAGAGATGGCTTTATAGTCCAACCTGGCCGTGGGCTTGCAGAATGCCACGTGGCCCTTCATGTCACAGCCCTACTTGGAGCCACAGTGGGCCTTTGATTCACTGCCACGCCGTTCCACGACAGCCATCTGCCAACGCCGAGGGACTGCGGCACCTTGTCCCCATCGCCACACTCCCACTCTGTCCCCTGTCGTCATCCTTGAGGTCAGCCAGGAGTTCCAGGAACTGGTCCACTCACAGTCCGTGTTTCAGAAAGAAGTCGACATTCTTCAGAGACATAACTCATATACAGCGTATCTGTGTGTGTGAGACGTGGGTGTTTGTGCAGTGTGGAGCGTGTGAGGTAGAATGTGTCACTGGAGTGATTTAATAGTGTGGGCTTTCACGGTGCATCTGTAATGTGGTGTGTGTGTGTGTGTGTGTTGAGAGTGTGGTGATTGGTGTAGTATGTCATGTGTGAGTGTGAGAAGTGACTTTGTGTGTGCTGTGTGTTTGTCGTGTGTGGTGTGTATGTGCGTGTTTGCCATGTGTGTGGTATGTGGTGTGTCTGTGGAGAGTAATGACTGAGTGTGTGTATGTGGTGTGTGAAGTATGTGTTTGTATGTGATGTGGGGGTAGTGTGTGGTATGGTGTGCGATGTGTGTTTATGTGTGTGGTGTTTGTGATATATATGGCCTGTGTCAGGGTGTGAGACTATTACTGGTGTGGACAGGTGCCTTCTCATTCTGTTCCTTGCTTCATAATTGAGTTGCTTTAGATGTACATGTACTAGCTCCACAGTGGAGAAACCCAGACTTGAAGTCTCCGCCCTGCGATGACAGCGCACAGCTGTGTGCCGGCGGCATGCAGGCAGGGCTTCGTAGACCTGGAGTTTCCGATGGGAGTACGGCAGAACTTTCCCATGTTCTAGGCTGTGCTGTGTCCATCCCCTCCAGTACCTGGTCAGCCTGCAGCTGTGCCTCAGTGGCTGTATGCTGATCTAAATGTCAGGGCAGAGGTGGGCGTGTGGTTCAGTTGGTAGAGTGTTAGGTTCCGTTTCCAAGGCCTTGTAAAATGAATATGGTGGTGTACTCATGCAATCCCAGAACCCTCGAGGCAGAGAGGAGAGAGAGGGAGGCCATGGTCAAGGTCACCATGGTTATCTTTTGTCCATTCACCTGCTGTTGGGCATCTGAGCTGTTGATATTCTGCATGATGCCAGGATGGTCATGCAGAGATTTCTTTGGCTATAGTCCCAGAAGAAGGACACTTGAATCACAGGCTAGATCTATTTTCAGGTTTTCCCCATAGCATCTGTACTACTTTACATTCCTGCCAAAAATGCATAAGAATTCTCTTTTCCCCATGTCTCAGCCACTGTTCTATTGCTGTGAAGAGACATCATGACCAAGGCAACTCTGATAAAAGAAAGCATTTAACTGGGGTCTTGTTGGCAGTTTCAGAGGGTTAGTTCATTATCACCACGACAGGAAGCATGGTAGCGGGCATGGTGCTGGAGCAGTCTTTGAAAGCTACATCCAGATCCAAAGACAGAGAGGGGGACACAGGGCTTGGCGTGGGCCTTTGCAACGTTAAAGCCCACCTCCAAGGATCCTTCTAATCTTTTCAAATAGTGCCACTCCCTGGTGACTAAAGCAGATTTATATATAAATCTATAGGGGCCATTCTTATGCAAGTCACCAGACCCCACTTTCTCACCAGCATTTATTTATTCATTTATGTTATTTTTGTGATTTGTGTGTTTGTGTGTGAAAATATGTGAACACGTGTGCTTGTGTATGTGGACGTGTTAGGTGTCTCTTCAGCCACTTTCTATCTTTTATATGTATGTATTTGTTCTCATTTTGTTAATTTTTTGAGAAATTTATATAATAATTTTGGCCGTATTCACCCTCTTCACTCTTCTAAGATCCATCCCGCATCCCCTATCCCCCAGTTTCATTTCCTCTTTTTAAAATATTTAAAAAATCTATTCACCCTAATTTCCAGCCATGGAGCTATGGACTGGAATGTGGTTGACCCACCAGCAGCTAAAGCCTCAACAAAAGCCAACTCTCCCTCCTCCAGAAGCCACCAACTGCCTACAGTGCCTCCGTTAGAGGTGGGCACAGCAAGCGTCCCTTCTCTGCCCCTGCATACCTGGACCTTTCTCCTATTCTGCTCGTGCTTACACAGGCTTGGGATCTCATCTAGAAAGCACTTCTTGAACTAACGCCTTGGAGCGCTTCTCCCATGATTCCAAATATATTTTAAAATGTCCAATAGCTTTGATCACCAGAGAAATGGAAAACGAAACCGAAAGGCTCCATCCCACCGCAGTCTCCGTGGCCATCATAAAAAACAAATTAAAAGTCAAAATGGCTCAGTCAGTAAAGTACTTGCCATGCAAACAGGAGGATTTGAGTTCAGATCCTCACATCCAAATTAAAAAAAAAAAAATGCAGCCTGAGGTAGCTAAAATGCATTGGTCAGTCATCTTAGCTCAGCGGATGAGGTGATTGGTTGAGTGAGAGACAGTAACTAATTCTGTGTATGTGTGTGGAGATCTAAATTTAGAAGGCAGTTTAATATTTAGGTCCATTTGGAAAATCAGCAGCAGTAGGTTCACCCCTGGGGCCTGTGCGCCCTTTAACCAGAGGATCTTGGCCAGATTTGCAGTACCATGTATGTGCTACTCCTGTGAAGTGGTTTTTAAATCAAATCGGGGGAAGTATTTGGTTACGCCTGGAACAGTCGTGCCGTTATTCCATCCACGGGCCTATCTCGCCAGGCCAGGCATTATTGTAGTTCACAGGGTTCACAGCAAAGTAAGACTACTGATGCGATCACACACATAGACTTATAAGGCACCCTACGCCCTGCGCCCTGCGCCCTGGACCCTGCACTCTGCACACTGTACCCAGAGCCCTGCGCCCTGCGCCCTGCGCCCTGCACTCTACACCCTGTACTCAGAGCCCTGCGCCCTGCGCCCTGCTTAGAGCCTTCCTGTCATAAGAGAGCTAGGCAGCAGGGAGGAAGCTCTGGTCGCACCCAATTTGCTTTATGTCTGTGCGCCGAGCATTTCTGATGCTCTAAGTTCTGGTGGGCAGACGGACAAGAGCAGCGGCAATAGCCTGTATTATTTTGGGACCCCTAGCCAACAGCTTGAGGAGAGATATCCCACACGGGGCACTGGCTTTTTTATTTGGCAACCTATGGCTTCTCGGATGAGCATAATCTTCCCTATGTAGGATAAACTCCTTTACATGTACACACACACACACACACACACACAAACACACGGAGCTTATGAAATAGGTTTCTATACGGCTTGTTCAAACATCCTTGAAATTAGTTATCCCTTCCTCAACCCCCTCTTCGGCCCTGCCCTTCCAAAACCTTCCCATCTAACTTTCCTCCCCCTCCCCATGAGCTGGGATGTTGGGGGCGGCTTGGATTGCTTCAGACACCCTTTTGTGAGCTACAGAGGAATCACAGCGGTTTGAGAGTGAGAAAATAAGGCTCGGAAAGGGGAACTCAACCACACAAACCACGGTAAGTGGGAGAGCAAGCGGACTGTCACAGAACCGTAATCTCGCTTCCTCCCGGCCTGCTCCGCTGGGGATAGCCCCCTCCCAGGGATTCTGCAGGGAAGGAGCTATTGCACTAGCACAGGAAAGGCTGGGGAGCAAAAGCAGAGTTTAAACTTTTTCAGCGAGCAGCAGCCTGGAGCCTTCACTCGGGGATGCGGCATCTGGCCCCCTGCGACGCCGGCGCCCAGCTGCGCTGACTTGGGGTGGGGGCGGGGGTGGGAAATGGTTGACTTCCCTGACACAGGGAGCGGGCCTTTCAGCTGGCAGCGAGTCCACACTTTCAGAGGCGGGTTGGCAGCAGACAGGGAACGGAGACACCAGCCAGGGCCTGTGCGCATGCACATGTGCCAGGGGACGCTCGCTAGAAGATCCCGCTTTGGGTGTGGATGGCCTGGATTCTTCCGCCTCTGCCTCACTCCCGCTCCTACCCACTACATGCACAGTGACATCATTTTTTTGGCTTGGAAAGTCTCTGGAGGGCCTTCAGGTAAATATCAAAACCAGGCAGCTCAGACTTTAGCAGCCCGGGTGCTTTCTGTCCAATGAATCCCCCTCCCCCAAATTGACCTGGTAGGTGCCAAGCCTGTGACGGGGAAGGGGGCTGGCTGGCGCAGACAGTTCCCAGAGGAGGCAGACTGCGTCATTCATCAGAAATGCCCCGTGGTGCCCCAGGACCGAAGGTGGGTCGGTCGGTCAGGAACAAACGCGCCTGTCTCTTGCCCAGACTAGTTTCTTGCACGCTCCCGCTGTGTCCTTGGGCTTCTGAACAAGCGGCTGCAACGTTTAGGAATAAGTTTGCTTATTTTGGGTCACCAAGTGATTTGGTTTGTGGTGGTGTTGGGACGAGGAGGGTGGAGATGAATGGAGAATTGTCAATTTCCTCCCTCTTCCAACATCAAAGGCGGCCGCTGATGACAAACGGAGGTTTTGATGAAGCAGGAGGAGCCAGCAGCAGCCAAGGCCAGCCTGGTGCCTGTGTGGGCCTTCACACACACACACACACACACACACACACAGGGGGGGGGGGGGAGGTTACTCTTTCCTCAGAACATCCCTGGGAGATCAGCTTCAGGTTAAGACAGGAAACACAGGGAGAGTCCTTGATTTTGCCAGAATTGCACAACTGCCTAGGAGCCCAGCTGTGGTTTCCCTTTGGCCCTTGAACCTTCGTTAGGCTTCCCTCCCGTTGCAGTTTGCGGGATCTGTGTTGATTACATCGGGAAAGTGCGGCATCTCTGGAAGGCTGTAGGCTGCCCCCTTTTCCGAGAACAGCCAGCTCCCAGGGTGGTGGTTAACATGGCCAAGTTGACTCGATCTACAACCATCTTTGCATGTGTCTGTGAGGGATTTTTCTTAGATTGGGCCACTTGAAGTGGGGAATCCCATCTAGATGTGGGGAGCACCACCCCATGGGCTGGGGGTCTGGAAGGAATAAAAAAGGAGAGAGGAACTGAGTACCAGCACCTTCACTCCTCACTTCCGGGCTGCAGGCTCCTCACGACCAGCTTCCTCACACTTCTGCCTTTGTGCCTTCTCCTTCACGATGGACTAACTCCTTTTCCTTAGGTCACTTTTGTCACAGCCCTGAGGACAGCAGCTGGCTCCCCTGGGGAACAGGAGGAAAGGAGGCAGGCCCTTGGCAGACCCTGGACCTTGCTGTGTCCCATGTCTCTCAGCAAGGACTAGTGGAGGCTGCTTTAGAAGAATCCAGATGGAACTCGCAGGGTCCTTCTGAGTGGCCCCTGCCTCCGAGGGTGGGAGGGCAGGCTGAGCTCCTGCAGTGACCCCGGTATTCCGCCTCTACACCACTCTTGACTGACACACAAAGTCTTTGAGCCCCGTGGGTTAGGGGCACCTCTGCCATCCTGAACCCAAAGTTAGGTTACCCAGACAGTTAAAGGGTCGTGGAGACTCAGTAGCTTTACACAGACACACATGTGTGGGAGGTTCCTTCAGGGTTAGGTGGCTAGAAACCATGCATGGATTTATTTAAAACAAGAAAGACCCTTTCAAGAAACTGAGGAAAATGTGTGTGTGTGTGGGGGGGGGGGGGGGGGATCTCAAACCAATTTAATAATGTAAATTGTGATTTCAAGAACAGTAGAAAAAGAATGACAGCAGAGACCATAAATGGAAGAAAGGTCTAATAAAGGGAACAGAAATTATGAAAAGTGAAATACATCAATAGAATAAAAATATTGATTAGTTGAGAAAACAGAGATGGGGGAGAGTGGCCTCCTGGGACAGCCGTGCTGGTATAACCTTCTACAACCTTGGTGACAAGGACCAGTCTATTGATAAGTGACGGCTGCCACGGAGCCAGCTCTCTCCCCACAGGACATAAACATGCTTAACAGCCTTACAACTATCAAGAAAATGGAATTAAAACTTTGCAAAAGAGAATAAAAAAGAGATTCTCAATGTCTGGAGTGTTTATATATATATATATAAACATACTAAACAATTCACAGTAATCCTATAAAACAGGAAAAGGAGGAGACAGGGATACTTCCTAATGAAGAAAGGACTGTCTTTACTCCAAAATCACACAGATTTGGTATGAACAAAGGCCACTTAACTCCCCTCATGAATATAGACACAAACATTGTTGTTCTCATTTGTTGATTTATTTTTGTTTGTTTTGGGGACAGAGTCTCATGTAGCCAAGGTTGATGTCAAACTCACTATGTACACAACCTTGAACTTCTGGTCTTCCTGCTTCCAGAGTCCTGAGATTTCAGGTATGTGCTCTGTGTGTGTGATGTGCTTGTGTGTGTGTGTGTGTGTGTGTGTGTGTGTGTGTCAGACTTTATGCATGTGTTTTTGAGCAGTTGTGTGTGTCCATGTGTGAGTGAGAGTGTATTCATGTATGTGTGAGTGTGTGTGTGTATGTGTGTTTATACACCATTGGGGATTGAACCCAGGGCCTCATGCATTCGAAATGCAAGCACTCTACCAGTTGAGCTACAGGCTCGGCCTAAGAAATGTATCTTGACCTAAGCCTCATGGCTTTTACAAAAGCTAATACAAAGAAGGCCGCAGCTTTCATGCGTTCATGAGCACCATAGGACCATGTCTTTATGATCTAGACCTGGTAACAGTGATCCGATATGTCAGAGAGGCTGATCTCTGAAAGAAAGAAATATCAAAGAACCAGACCTTATCAAAGTGGGAAAGTTTGCTCAGCAGGAAAAGCCCTGCTTGACAGTCGACAGCTGAGCTACAGACTGAAAGGAGAATTTGCAAACCACGAATCTAATGAGGAACTCGTATCTAGAATACCTAAAGAGATCACTTAAAAAAATCAAGAAGCTTCAAATCACATGTGGGCAGGAAATGCAGAGGAGTCACAAGGATGGAAATAGATTCATGACTGGTCATGAGAGACCAAAACTAAAACTCCAGTGATCTGTGAGGAGGAGAGCTAACAGGACGCTGTCCGGCCAGTGGTGACCCATGAGGACAGCTAACGCAGGACGCGCCTGGCCAGTGGCTGCACAGGGAGCAGAGAACCCACCTTTCTCCAGTGGGAATGGGAAGTCGTGTAGACTTTCTAGAAAACAACAGGGAAGTTTCCTAAAAGTAAACAATAAGTATAAAACTATACTTTTGACACCAAGCAACCTGGCCACTGCTCTCTAGGGCAGGAGACCCCGTGGAACTAAAACCAAACTCACCCCAGGGGAACCCATGGGACATCCACTGAAAGGGTTAATCACACTGAAACCCCAAACTGGAAACAGCTAAGACATTCCCAGTGGAGAACTGTGAAGTGAATAGTGGTCCCTTGATGATATAGTCAGGTCCCGATGGCAGAGTCGGGTTCCTAGCTATACGCTACAACCTGGATGGAGTGGGAGGATTCCATGTTACATGGAAAAGTCAGTTTCTGACAAGCACACATTGTAACAGCAGTTTTTATTTTTTATAATACAGGGAGAAGAATCTGGTTTCCAGGGCCTAGAACTGGGGTCTGACGGTGTGAGCAAGTGGGTGTGACCATGCAGGGCGACCCACGGCACCCAGAGATAGTTCTGTCCCTATGTATGTATGTTCGTGTGTTCATGTATGCAGATGGTAAAGGCCGTTCCCAGGGGCCTCCACCTCCGTGTTTGAGGCAAGGTTTCTTACTGGCCAAGAGTTTGTTGCTTAGGCTAAGCTAGCTGTTCAGTGATACCCAGCAAAAGGCCTGCTCATCCCTACCACCATGCCCCTGGCACTAAGACTGTAAACACACAGCAGCAAATTCAGTGTTTTCAAACTTGGCTTCAGGGGATCAAACTCAGGTCCTCACAATCTCAAGGCAAGCCCTTTACCATTCAGACTACCTCCTCAGCACAAATTCTGTGTCTTCATTGCAGTGGTGATCTGAACCCGTACCTGTGGTAAGAGTCTTGGAACCACAGACACACACTTAACTCTACACACACATACACTCACACACACACAAGTGTTCACACACATTGTGAATGGGAAAGGCAGACAGATCCTTTGGACCGCGTCCTTATCTCTGTAAGTTTCTGTGAATTTGTAATCGTTTCAAGAAAGCTAAAATTTTAACTACTTAAAAAAATCAGAGAAATGGCTTTTCCTCCTGGTAAGAGACTTCACAAGGGGCAGCCATTGAAAGGATGCTCTACCCTGGTGGCCACCGCAGCTGGTGTCCTGTGGGCATCCCAGTGAGGGGCACGGCATTGGTGCTTCTCGTGCGGCTCGTGGGTGGAAGGAAACCACACGTGGACATCCAAGGGACTCAAGTCTGGAAGCACGCCGCTGTTGCCACCACTTGTGGTCACGATGAGAAAATTCTAAACTCTAAATAAGCTCTCTGCTGTAGACCAAGCAGGATAGCTCAGAAAATGAAAATTTGATAATATAGCAAAAAGCAGGATCTCAGGCTCTCCCAGGAAGCCAGAAGAAAAGTGCAGGCTGCAAGACCTCGGTGCTTGAAGGACCAGGGCTTTAGACAAAGGGCTCATGGTCTGCTCAGAGGGACTGAGTGAGGCCTGGGAGTCCACCTTGAGACACAGCCAGGGCTTCCACCTGCTGGGCCTCCTTCTCCTGGGCACAACCACTCATTTGCTCTTGCTCAGCCTAACCGTCAAAGCTGAGGAACATAAGGCTGATAAGGTTTCCTAACTCATCTTTAAGCATCTGTGTGTGCCCTTGGAGACATGAAGCCCTCTGCATGCTTACTCTCTGGTTAAATGGAATCTGCACCACTCTGTGAATTAAGGTTGGGGTCATCAGATGTCCTGGAAACTTGTGTCATGTCATGGAGAGGAGCCCGCTACCTGGTGGGGCTTTGGGCAGTGTGCTCCATTTTGTGGGCCTGAGTTGTTTTCTAGTTTATGACTTAACGCCTGCTGTTAGCAACTGCAAGACCCTAAGGCCACCACAGCTTGTGAACCAAGGGGCCTGTGATTGGCCCAACCACACTTGGCTCTTCTGAAGCCTCCAGGGAGCTGCAGCGCTTACTGTGGGTAGAGGTGGGCACATATGGCAGAGCTTGAGGCAGGCAGGAACAGAAGGGTGGGGTGGCCTGTGACCGAGGGTGCTCAAAAGAAGATATCTTGCGTTATTCAGCAATCCTTTCATTATCATTAATCATGCAAAGTAATCATTTGATGATCAATGATGGTGTGGAGGGTCATCTCACACGTTTCAACTAGCACAGTCACAGAATAAGAGACCTTTGCCCCAGAGCCCTCTCTCAAGCCAGGGCACCAATGGCTTCCTATGTCACCACACCCTTCCTCATCATCAGGCCTCCTTTCTCCCGTTCTTCCATCCCAGTTAACCACAGTGTTTATCCTGTTCCCAAGACACAGTGGTTTTTGATGTGGTTTGTAAATGTGGCCTTGTAGTCTCAGTGGAAACAGCTCAGACAGGAAGCTGATGACATGAACCCTTCAAGCTTTCCAGTGATGTCAAGAGGAGGAGGACGAGACGGTCATCTATGCACGTCCCGCATAGCCCAACGAGCTTGGGACTCTATCTCAGGTAGCACACCTGGGCACCAGGCTTGAGTTGTTTTTTTTTTATTTGTTTTGTTATTTAACCTCCCCTGCCCATGGTTATTCTCTCATTTTCTGATGCACCTTTACAAATGACTTCCCAGGAGAGAGAACACAAAGGTGAATTCTCAAAATTCTTGTGTGGCCTAAGCTCATAGTTCTAATCCCCTCAGAGCAGGCTGATAGTTTGGCTGGGTATCAAATTCCAGATTGAAAATCATTCTTAGACTTGGCACAGGTTTTGTGCTTCCTCCTTGTGTGCGTGTGTATGTGTGTGTGTGTAGTTGAGTGTCTTTCTAATGTTGGTATACGTGTATCTAAGTGTACACATGGAGGTCAGAAGTCAACATTTAGTGTCTCCCTTAGTTGTTTTTTGGAACAAGATCTGTCACTGAACCTGAAGTTCATGGATTAGGCTAGGCTAGGCCTCTGTCGAGCCCTGGGGGCCCTCCTGTCCTCACCTGCTCTAGCTCTGGGATCACAGGTGTGTGGAAGTGTTTCTGTTGTTTCACATGGGTGCTGGGCATCAAACTCCATCCAGGCTTTTGAGGCAGTGACTTATGGACTGAGCCATGCCCTGGCCCTCGGCTTCTTGATGGAAGCTGTTGAGGTTGTTCTACACTCTGTCCCTCAGAAACATTCTGATGACTGCTGTGGAGTTGTCAGTCCTTTGTTCAGGGCAGGCTTCTTACCCTCCATTTCCTTCTGTAATGTCGAGTTTCTGTATTCATCCTAAAACTTTGTTTTCCTCTTTATGGTTCTAATCTAATTCCTAGGGTATTTGTATGTCTATAAAATGTTTTATAATTAAGCTGGGTAGCAGTGGTGGCACACTTCTTTAATCCCAGCACTTGGGAGGAGGTGGCTGAGAGATCTGAGTTCAAGGCTAGCCTGGTTTACAGAGTGAGTTAGTTATAGGACAGCCAGAGCTACACAGAGAAACCCTGTCTCAAAAACAAAACAAAACTAAATATGTATCTAATATTGTCTAATGATTTTGGTCTAATTTCTGGGATATATAATTCCTTATCTTAGAATCACTGGCAGCTGTGGTGGCCCACACCTTCTAGCTCAGCACTTCAGAGATTGAAGCAGCAGGATCCCTACATGTTTGATACAAGCCAAAGCTTCAAAGTGAGTTCTAGGCCAGCCTGAGCAACAGAGTGAGATCCTGTTTAAAAAACAAATAAATCAGGAAAATAAGGCAGTAAATAGAAATAGTTTTATCTGAAGCACTTTTGAAATTTCAGCTATTTAATATAAGAACATATATTAACAGTACATATATGTAATACATATGTATATATATATATATATATATATATATATATATATATATGCATATATATGACACATAGGTCCTTGCCATCTGTCTGCTTGCCTGTCTAGTATTTGGGGGAGAGACACATGTACAAAAATGTCACAAAAACATTATTCTCTTTTATTTCTTTTCTTTGCATTTTCTCTCTCTTTCTCTCTTCCTCTTTCTTTCTTTCTTTCTTTCTTTCTTTCTTTCTTTCTTTCTTTCTTCCCCTCTTTTCTTCTTTCTTTTAGCATCCTTTGCCTTTTGAAGGCAAAGTCTCCTGTAGCCCAGGCTGGCCTCAAACTCCCTATGTAGGTCAGGCTGACCTGAACGCCTGATCCTCCTGCCTCATCCTCCCAACTGCTGTGATGACAGGTGTGTCCCTCCATGCCCAGCTCTCCCTGTAGCTCTTCTTGATTTGTTGATGTCACTCTCTCTGGCCCCGCTCTTCCAATGTATGTCTCTGGCTTTCATCTTGTTATTTGTTCTCCAATACCCCACCGCCTGTTACTTTTCCTGTTTTCCTCTACTACCCTGCCACCTCTTTGTGTCAACTCTTTCAAGCAGGAGGTTTGGAATGACCTCTGGTGGTTTCTGCCTCTCTGTTCACCTTTACACTTCTAGGCAGATAGAGGGCATCCAATTTTAAACCTTAATTTTCCCCAAAGTGCACACGTTAAAGGTACAGCCTCCTGTTTACTCTATCAGTAAGTAGTAGAGCCTTTAAGATAAGGGGCCAGTGGGACCGTAGGGTCAATGAGGGTAGGCCCTTGATAGGGATGGTGGGATCATGGCCCTCTTGTCCTCCATTTCCTGGCCAATCTAAGGTAAGCAAGCACCTTTACCTCTCCACATGCTTCCTGCTCTGATGAGCTACCAAAAATAACAAAGCCAAATGATCCTAGGCTGACAGTCCAAAACCATGAACCAAAGCAAAGCTTTCTCCATAAATTGATCATCTCTACTATTTGAAGCTGATGAGTACAGTGGGTCTTGCTGCCGGGGAAACCACATCATCAGAGACTGCAATCCCTTGGTTTGGTCATTCATTCGTGTTCTCTGGTGGTAGAATCTTCTGGTTCTCTCCCTCTGAGATGCCAGTCTGGGAGCAGGGAAGGGATGACTGGTTCCCTGCCTTGCTGTATTTTCCTGCAGCAACTCTTTTGCCAAGCCCATGGCTCCAAAGCTCTATGGGTCTTGAAGGTGTTTTGGGAAGCTACCCATCAGCACCCATCTGCACAAGCTCAGGAGTTGGCTTCTCCCATGTCATCACAGCTGTTTCCATCCCTCTAGCCCCTTCTCTCTGCCGTATGTGCTAAGCTCACGCTCTCCCAGATTTCAAGGCCTTGCTTTTGCTTTTGCTGGTTTCTTGGACTTTCAAGCCTCATCAATCTGCTGCCACTGTGGTGGTTTTCAGGAGAGAGAGAAGGTAAAGGTGGTCAGTGAAGGAGGTACAGGAAAGTCTACCATGCTTCACCTTCAGGGGAGATGCTCCCATCTTAAACACTGGTGAGGGGTGATAGGAGGACCTCTCTCTCATACCTGCCCCGCCCTTCCTGCTGCCTCTTTCCTCTCCCTTCTGGGAAGCTCTGCTTTCCTTGCTCTCCTCCTCCTTCTCCTCCTCCCCTAGGGAGCTCCTACCAGTTCTGCCCCAGAACACCCCACCCCTAACTCTCACTGTGCTTTTC